AACATTGAAGTTTTATGACGTTATTTCTACTACCTATTCTTTCTAATGTTACTCAGTCACAGTCTTTTTCCCATTTGTACTTTACATCTCATGCCATGAGGTGCTGGTTTTCTTTGTGCAATTACTTGGGTTAATTTTTTTAATATAACTTACTGGACTTCTGACTGCACAATGGGATCATTGCCTTCAATCCCGACATTGTTTCAGGGTCAGGTGGAGTCTTGCCCTCACCTCTAGGACATACTCTCCACAAGACCAGCAGGTTTGTTTCTTAGAGTCACTGAGGTGTCCTTGATAAAAAAAATAGCACGTCCTGTACATGGCACACGACATTATCCGTGGAACTAGTGACCACCGGAAAGGATCTCTCTTCTGGATGAGCTTCAGGCACAGCTGGTCCATGGAAGCTCCCACACAAAGTACCCCCACCTCACCACTAGTGCCGTCTCTAGTTCCCCCTAGGCCTGCTCCCACCACTTCTTAGCTCAGCTCCCCCCCTCCACCCCACAGAGGTTCCCCTGCACAGCACAGCACACGGTTACATCCTGTCATCAGAAACACTGTACTTGGGCTCTATGGGACCCTTTTTCCAACCAAATAGAAATCTACATGAGACCCTGCTTCATAAATCCATGAATTTGTAGTCAGCACCAGCATCGCAAGAACTAGGGCAGGGAAGGGGGCAGAGAGACAGGAAAGGTAGAAACTAACTAAAGTTGAAAAAGGATGAGAAACTCTCTAGATTCCTCTTTGTCTACATCCAGAATCTAAAGAATAATCCAGAAGACAGCTCTAGAGGGAGGGGAAGAGATGGGTGACTCTGAAAATTCATCTCTCCAAACCACAGAGACTCCCATGTGCAGGGCCAACATGGGCTTGTGGGAGCAACAGCCCAAAGGACTCCTGGTGCTGTAACTGCAGGGGCACCTGGGGAGAATGGGATGGGAACTCGTACACAGGTGCAAGAACTGGCCTGATGCTCCACAGAAACAAAGAAAAAAATACACCCAAAAGATGGGGCTGATGGTACGACACAGGTAGAGCCTGGGTTGACCCAGTCACAGGAAGCTCTTGCTGCACAAGGTCTGGTGACAGATGATGTCCAAGTCCCTGTGATCACAGGTCCTGGGGAGACAAGTTTCCATAGAAGGGACAAGGACAAGGAGCAGGGACAGGACCCAGCTGAGGAGTGAGGACGTTACACCAATGATGCACTGAGCACTGACTGGGCACAGGCCCCGTCCATGCTCGGCTCCTCATAGCCTTCGCCTGTCCCCACCTGTAACAGACTTAGCACAGCAAACACGTGGGTTCTGGAAGGTTCTCAGTGCTTTCATTTATTTTCTGTCACAATTTTACAAATCTTCTCTTTCATTATTTCATCATCACCACATACCCAGAATTACAAAACACAGATTCATATCTGGATTCTCATTTTCAATAGGGAAGTAACACGTCAGGACTCTGTCCAACATGAAATAAAGACGGGGATGGAGATGGTCCAGCCCTGTCTCTGCAGGAACAGGAAGCAGATCAGAAAGGGAACAGGAATCAGTATGGGGAGGGGTCACGGTGGGCAGGGTGGGCCAGTCTCCTGCGTCTCACACTATGCTAATAGGAACACAGACACATTCTGACACCATCTACAGAAAGAAAAGTCAGGGGCTCTGCATGTCACCAAGTGGGAGTGGGAACAAATCTTGTATCGCTCAGTTCCCAGGGGCGGCTGGTGTCACACTGTGAAAAAATTAATCATGAATACATTTAGGTCAGTCACATAAGTGCCTCATCCTGAACAGTCCCCTGCATGTCAAAGTGTCCCTAGTGTCCACACTCCTCCCCACCTCAGACCCTCCGGATCTTACCTTTAGGAGCCATTAGGGATGAATCAGAGCCCTGGGTGCTGTCATCGCCTGGGGTAGAACAAACAGGACGTGATCAGAGCCACAGGAGATGTCACTGAAGGAGGGACTATGGGGGAGGTGTGATTTCCCATGGGGTCTTGTCTACACTACCCAGGGTTTCAGGGATCACCCCTCCATACTTACGTGCAGCGTGAGAGTAGCTCGGTCCTTTTCCTCCTGTGGGAAGAAAATATCATGCTAGAGACCTGGGACAGCTGGGCTATGAGGTCCTAGAGCAACACTTAGTCCTGGTCCACAATGAAGTTTCCAGAATTCTGACTGAAGACCCAGGACAGGATGGGGAAACATGAAGAGGTATGGGGTCTCTGGCCCACCTGACTTGCTGGAGGTCTGACCTCAGCAGGGACCTTCCTCTCTGTCCTGTCACTGCTGGGAATCAGGTCCCCATCACCAGAATTACCAAATGAAAATCTGTTCTTCATTTTCAGAAGTTATTTGCTACAGAGTGAACATCAGTAACGGCTCCAGAGTGGGCAGGTGCATGGTGTGGATGGGACTTCCCAGGAACAAGGCAGCACCATGTGCTACCTAGGAACCCCCCAGCGGGACAAGAGAACTCAGATCCCCCCAATCTGTTCCTACCTGAGTGCTTCTTCCTCCAGATCACAGCTCCAAGCACCACAGTGACCACAAGGACAGTGACAGCCACACCAGCAATGATGCCCGGGATGGGGATGGAGGGCTGAGGAGGCGGCTCTGGAAAGGGAAGGAAGGTGAGGGGCCCACACCTCCGGCTTCAGTCCTGACTTTGTGAACTTCTCCAGAAGGGCCCTGCTCTCCCTGACACCAGGCTCTACCCCACACCCTCCTTACCCCATCTCAGAGTGATGGGCTTGGGCAGCCCCTCGTGCTGCACGTGGCACGTGTATCTCTGCTCCTGTCCAGAAGGCACCACCACAGCCGCCCACTTCTGGAAGGTCCCATCTCCCGCAGGCCTGGTGTCCACAAGCTCCGTGTCCTGGGTGTGGTCCTCCCCATCCCGCTGCCAGGTCAGGGTGATCTCCGCAGGGTAGAAGCCCAGGGCCCAGCACCTCAGGGTCACCTCATGGTCAGAGATGGGGTGGCGGGTCACGTGTGTGCTGGGAGATTCTGAGGAAGAAGAAGCAGAAAATCCACTCTGGGGTTTACCTTTAGGGGCCACTGAGACTGCATCCATGTGAGCATCCTGAGGTGGACAGGGCTATGGGTTTGGTTGGAAGAAGCGCAAAACCCAGACACCAGTCTAGCCTATGGGATCTCCGGATCCTTGTTAGGTTCTGGAATCAGGGAGAGAGCCTGGGGAGGAGGCTGCAGGTCTAAGGTGGGGACCACATCCCTGACTGAGGTGGAGGGTGAATGACTCACAAAACCCAAAGTCAGATCTCCAAAGATGTTCTTAGATGGAGAACAGGCCTTGAGAGGGAAGGTCATGGTTCACAAGGTCAAAGGGAACTGCTGATGGGTTATTTCAGGGAAGGTCTCAGCCTGCGACCCAGGGGGAGACTGCATCCCTCACTGTCCTTTAGAGAAAAGCGCCCTCTAGGTGAGTCACCCTCTAGTAGGAATATGAACACCGAGGCGGGTCTTCCTCTTCCCACCCAGCGAGGGGCGCTTTTCTGCCGCTGAGTCCACTTTCCCTTCTTCGTGGGCAGCCAGCCCCAGGGGAGGGGAGAGCGGGGCGTCCCCGCGGCCCCTGTACCTGCGCGCAGCAGCGCCTCCTTCCCGTTCTCCAGGTACTTGCGGAGCCCCTCCAAGCACATGCCCTCTGCGTAGTTCCTGAAGTCTTCCGCCACACCGGCCACCTCCCACTTGCGGCGGGTGATCTGCGCCGCCGTGTCCGCCGCGGTCCAGGAGCGCAGGTCGTCGTTCAGGGCGATGTAGTCCGCGCCGTCGTAGGCTTCACGAAGGTCCCGTGGAAGAAGTGCCCGTCAGGCCCCAGGTTGCAGCCTATCATCCTTTGGAAGGTGTGAGACCCTGGCCCCGCCCGCCCCCAGCGCAGCAGTGATGACGGCGAAACCGAAAGTAAGACCGCCTAAAAGCTCCCGCGGGCTCTTCCCGGGTCGGGGCGGGGGTCCCGCGGCCTCGCGGCTGCGCTCACCCGGAGACCCGGGGCGACCCTGGCCGGTCCGTGGGGATGGGGGTCGTGACCCGGACCCGGGCCCGCGTCGCTCACCGGACTCGTTCTGGTTGTAGTAGCCGCGCAGGGTGTTCAGGCCCACTCGGAAATTCTGTGCGTGGCTCCCGGCGACCCGCGTCTCCCGGTCCCAATACTCCGGCCCCACCTGCTCCATCCACCGCGCCCGCGGCTCCATCCTCTGACTCGGGGCGTCGGTGTCGAACCGCACGAACTGCGTGTCGTCCACGTAGCCCACGATGATGAAGCGGGGCTCCCCGAGGCCGGGCCGGGACACCACGGTGTAGAAATACCTCATGGAGTGGGAGCCTGTGGGCGCGGAGGGGTGAGACCCCGCCCGACCCTCCTCCGGGCGCGGGGCCCGGGTCCCAGGTGGAGGCGGCCGGGAGGGCAGGAGAGGGGGGTTCTCGTGGGGGAGAGGAGGGCGGAGTCGGGGAGCGTCTGGGAATGGCCGGACTGGGCGGGTGGAGGTCTGGTCAGGGCGGCGGACAGATACCGTCCCCGCCGGGCGGTCCCCGCGCTCCTGCCCCGCAGAGTCCCTTTCCTCCCGACCCCGCACTCACCCGCCCAGGTCTGGGTCACGGCCAGGGCCCCCGCCAGCAGCAGGAGGAGGGTTCTGGACATCACGACCCGCATCCTCGGGATCTGGGGAGAATGTGAGTTACAGGGCGGGTGCGGAAAGTTTATACCCGGAACCGCGGTGCCGCTGATTGGCTTCTCAGGAAACCGGGCACTAATAGGAGTGTGAACCGAGGCTGGGTCATCAGTATCCAGGCAGAAGGACCTGACACAGGTTGTGACAGGGAGAAGTGAAACCAGGGAGGATGGGGACTCCCCAGCGCTGGGCTTCCCCGCCCCCGACACCGCCCTGAGACCCCGAGAGGCCAGCCGGGGACCTGGGACTTTGCCCGACGCCTCACCTACTGCACGGAGCGCCCTTTGTCACACTGTGTCCCTGAGTCGTGGCCCAGGAGCTGTGTGAGTCAGTGATGCTCCAACAGTTTGTTCTCAGGACAACTGTGCAGTCTTACAAATTAGTGAGGATCCCGGGGATAACTCTGTGTGTGTGAGACTATCTATCCACACTTACCGTACTAGGAATAAAACAGGTTTAAATATTTATTAATTCATTTACAGTCATATGAAAAAAGATATTGTTTTTATGAAAAATAACGATTTTCCCAAAGAAACAAGGCAGTGAGAAGAGTGGATTTTATTCATTTTCCATTTTGCAGGTCTCTTCTTGGCTGTCTCATTAGTAGACCACTGGATGTTCAGATTTGCTTCTGCATCTCTTGTGTTGTTTTGATGGAAGTATTTGAAAAAATTTATGTCCTTGACCAAGTATAGGAGAACAGTATGTGTCATATCCTTTTCAGATAAGTATGAATATGCCTCTTTGATAGTATATTAAAACTACACAAGTTGTACTTTCTCTGGGGTTCTTTGCAAACTGGATCCTGAAACAGCATCACTGACTGTCTCCTGTGTTACATTAGACCCATAGGCCCATCTGCACGTTGAATGGATGTGCTAATGCATGATTGTTTTTAAGTAACGTGCTGTGTGTTGTACTAAGTAACACCGGTGTTCTGGCATTGATTAGAGTGTAATTGAATCAAAAATCATTTGTTTTGGGGCACCTTGGTGGCTCAGTTTTTAAGCTTCTGGCTTTGGTTCAAGTCATGAGCTCATGGGTTGTGAGTTCAAGCCCTCCATGGAGCTCTGTGCTAACAGCTCAGAGCCTGGAGCCTGCTTAGGAGTCTGTGTCTCTCTTTCTCTCTGCCTTACCCTTTCTTTCACTCAGTTTCTCTCTTTCTCTGAAAAATGAATAAACTTAAAAAAATTTTTTTAAGTCATTTGTTTTAATATACCGCAAATCCCAAAAGAAAAGGTGGTCAGTGCTGAGAAGCTATGAAGCTTATGGGAGAATCACAGGGTATATGGGATGGGCTACATGGGTGATGGGTACTGAGGAGGGCACTTGTGATGAACACTGGGTGTTATATGTAAGTGATGATTCACTCAGTTCTACTCCTGAAACTAATATTACACTGTATGTTAACATACTGGAATTTAAATAAAAACTTAAGAAAAAGTAATGGTAAAGAAGCAGCCATTGCTCACATTAAGCAGCAAAGGGAGATGTTTTGTATTCTGTGGGTCATACAGTGGCTTGTTTTTGTCTGTAATTGGACAAAGTAATGTCATGGTCTCAGAGTGTCCTTGTGTGATGTTGATGTCCTGTGAGATGACTGGTCATGTCCCACAATAACAATTGGCCCAGTGGTGGCGTCAGCCAGCTTCTGACCACACTGAGGCCCAGCTGTCAGAGTCAGACCAGTTCCCAATGTGGGGGCTGCTGTATCTTCTGTCTTCAATTCCATATTTTAAAATAGCTACAACCCACGAAGAATAATTAAAGAATTTGTGTTTTAGGGAGCCTGGGAAGTTCAGTTGGTTAAGGGTCAGACTCCTGATATCATGGTTTGTGAGACAGAACCCGTGTCAGGCTCTGCACTGACAGTCTGGAGCCTGCTTGCATTTGTCTTTCTCTCTCTCTCTCTCTCTCTGTCCCTCCTCTGCTCATACTCACTCTTGTCTCTCTCTGTCTCAATATAAACTAATAAAATTTTTAAAAATCTGGAAGGACTTTTAAATTCTTAAATATCCCAATATACACTGGCCCTGTTAAGGTTCTTAAGTGCTTATTTCTTCTTGCATCCCTCCCTGAGGAGAAGCGTTCCCTCAGCTCATGCATTGTGTAACGTATTCACACAATAAATGCTCGCAGAATTAGGAAAGGTCTCAGGTTTAACGTTTCATAAGCGGGAATATTGGTCTGTTCATTCCAGAACCTAGTTCCAGTATTTAGCCCTTTTTCATGGAGTACCTCATTCCTGTCTCCTAACATGTTTGCCAGATTTGTACTGCTCTCTGTATCTTCTCAGAGGCCAATCTGCTCAGGAAAATCAGAAGCAAAGGAGAGAAAGAACAAATAAGTTCTATTGGGAGCAAAAAAGGAATCACGTAGCAGGGAAGAAGAGGGATTTAGTGGGGTTCATGCAGAGAGTGTACTTCCTGAAATCTCCCACTCTGGCACATTGTCTCTCCCCTCCACACACACACTGTGGGCCCACATCTCCCTACTCTCCACACACAGGCAGAGATCTTTGTGAAGTCTGTGCAGCGTTGCATTGCCCTGGCCCAGCTGCTGGTGGAGCAGAACTTTCCAGCCATTGCCATCCACCGTGGACACCGGGGGCAGAGGGGAGTCAGAGGTGGAAAGATAAATTTTATGTCTTGGGAGGAAATGAGACCACTGAGAGAAGGGACTGTCAATATTTTTCTAATTTCCTTTCTGACAAAGACTTTCTTGGTATCAGTAGTTTAAAGATTTTTAACAATGAACTATTGTGGCCACCAACCTATGCGGCCAAGGCATGGATATTAGGCAGGTAAACACGGCCATGTACCACCACCTGCCAGAGGATCCCCACACCTACCTGTATCGGGTAAGCTGGACAGCCACACGGGCATCCCAGTGTCCCCTCCCATCCCCCGATTTTCTGTGTCTTCATACCTTACATCCTTGTCCCTCCTTTTGGGTGTTTTCCTACTTAGGGGTCTTCCAGTGCCACCCTCTGTCTCCTTCCAGGATGCCTGAGTAGGCCACTTCCTTCTCATGCTTGGCCGTCATATTTGTGTCAAGCGAAAACCATGCCAAGATGCTCAGTGAGGTTCAGGGTCACACTGAGGTCAGTGGTAGTGAGCTGCCCGATGAGATGGACATTTCCTCCTCCAGTGAGTATTGACCTCATGAAACTGGTTCCTCCAACTCTTCAGAGTCTCTTTGTTTCTTGAGGACTTTGTCTTAAATCATGTAGTGCAGGCAATGGTGCCTGATGCTTATTGGGAGCCTGACACGTTTATGTCTCCCAATCTTATAGCCATGTTGGGCTGTTTTGTTTATTTCTATGTGGGGTCCCTTTTTTCTCTCAATTCATTATTTCTCTTTTTGCATCCCAGTCTCTCCTCTGACCCGACTCCCCACACAAACTCCTGCATGTATAGGGGTGTGTGTTTCTGCCAATCTCACTTAGCCTTTCCATGCATAATTGTAACTGTGCATCTGTTGTCTGCAGTTGCAGCCATGGGAGAGGACGCAGCCATTCGCAGAGCCTGATGCAGGTCTCCCACCCATGAACCAGGTGATCATACATGAGCTGAGCTGAAATCAAAAGTGGGAGGCCCAACCGACTAGCCCACCCAGGCACCCCTACAGTTTATTCTTCCTAATTAATTTGTTTTAAAAAATATTTTAAATTTCAATATAGTTGACACAAGATTTCTTTAGTTTCAGGTGTACAACACACTGAATCAACTTCTGTATTCATTTTTTTCTTTGAGAGAGAGACAGTGAGAGCAGAGAAGAGAGGCAGAGAGAGAGTGAGAGAGAGAGAGAGTGAGAGAATCTCAGGTAGGCTCAATCCCTGCAGGGCTCGATCCCATGACCCTGGGATCATGACCTGAGAACCTACTAAAGCCCCCCCAGGGGCCCTTCACCTCCTATCTACACCATGCTGTGCTCACCACGGTGTAGCCGCCATCTGTCACCGCACAGTGATGTTACAGTGTCACTGACGATATCCCCTGTGCTGCACCTTTTATTCCTATGAGCTGTTCCTTCCATTACTGGAGCCTGTGTCTCCCACTCCCCTTGCCCATTGTGCCCATCCTCCCAACCCCCTCCCCACCTGCCAGCATCAGTGAGTTCACTGTATTTATAATTCTGATTCAGCTGTTTGTTTCTTTCTTTGTTTTGTTTTTTTAGATTCCACATATGAGTGAAATCATATGGTACTTTTCTTCCTCAGTTTGATTTATTTCACTTAGCAGACATACTGCCCTGTTTGTCCATCCATATTGTCACAAGTGTCAACACATATTTATATGTATGTGTATGTATCACACATCTTCCTTAGCCATTTGTGGATGGATACAAGTTGTATCATTGTAGCTCTTGAATAAAACCTTCACACTCTGAACATCATCTGGGATGAGGGCGCCCCCTGGTGTCCAAGCCCATGTCCAGGAACTGGGAGCTGAAGGAGACCCTAGGGAGGGCCTCCCTGAAGAGAAGAAAGACGCTGGGTCTTCTCTCCTTAGTCCTGTGGCCGCACGTGGGGTGAAAGGTCAGGGGACACCCCCACTGCTCTGCTCTCAGGTGGATTCTGGCTGAGGAGCCTGAGTGGGGCCTGGACTGGAAGTCAGGTAGAGATGTTTGAGCAGAAGCCTGGGCGTCAGTGGGCAGAGGAAGAAGTTTCTGAGCAGCGCTGGACTCCACAGGGGTCGGGCTCAGGGGTGAGGCAGGACTGCAGGAGAGGAGCGCTCAGGAGCCGGTGCGCCATCGCTGAGGTTTCTGTGTCCCTGTGCACCTCCTCCTCCAGCCCCTTGATGGTAATACAGGGAAAACCAAAAAGTAGAAACACTTTCTTGAACTCTTATTTCTATATGGTTCAAAATTCAGTTAAATGAAAATAATTTCTGGTTTGGAAATAGCATCTCAATGTCTACACAATGCTCCATAGTGTGGACGCGCACACTCACGTTTTGTGAGTTGAAGCCCTGCATCAGGCTCTGGGCTGACAGCACTGAGTCTGCTTGGCATTCTCTCTCTCTCTCCCTTTCCCCCTCTCTTTGCCCCTCCCCCTCTTGCTTACTCTCTCTCTGCCTCTCACTGTAAATTAGTTTTTAAAAATTGGTGTTTTCATTTTCTTTGGGTAAAAACCCAAGAGTTCAATTATTGGATGAAATCACAAATCAATATGTTACAAACCTGAAAGGAGTGGAACCATGTGTGTAAACTGCACTCAGATAATAAGAAAAGAAAAAGGAAAAAGATAATTTAGAAATATTAGAGAACACTTTGGACGTAAGACACGAAATGTCAGACACATATATTGGTCATGAATAAACATAAACAATAAATGAGAATGTGGAATAAAAAATGTGAATAAAACTTCGTATCTTCAACTTGGCAAAGATGAGAGTAGGTGATGAGAGTGTCCAACAGAGGTGGGAGTGAGGACGGGTGTAAAATGTGTAAAGGGTTCTTCTGAACTGTGTCTCCACAATTTAAATGTGCTTAAACTGTGACATAGACGTTCTCTTTTAGGAGTTTATCCTTTTAAAAAAAAGTGCTTATTTATTTATTTTGAGAAACGTGAGAGAGAGCGCACGCAGGAGCGGTGAGAGGGGCAGAGAGAGAGGAAAGAGAGAATCCCACACAGCCCGACACCAGGCTGGATCGCAGGAACCCAGAGATCAGGAATTGAGTTGAAATCACGAGGCTCATACTTAACCGACTGAGCCACCAGGTGCCCCTCCTTCAGGAGTTTATTTTAAGGAATTAATCATATATATTTTCAAAAATATTTTTTCAGGAGGATGCCTAGTGGCTCAGTTGGTTAAGTGTCCGACCACGGCTCAGATCATGATCTCAAGGATTGTGAGTTCAAGCCCTGTGTCAGGCTCTTTGCTGACAGCCCGGAACCCAAGTTAGATTTTGTTTTCCCCTCTCTTTCAGCCCCTCCCCTTTTTGTGCTCTCTTTGTCTCTCAAAAATAAATAGACCTTAAAAGCTTCAAAAGTATTTATTCAGGGATGTTTCTTGAATTGTGGTTTATAAAGTCAAAGAATAGAACCCTATCTAAGTGGTATAATCAATATGATAATGATAAGTATAAATAGTGGAATATGTGTCAGGTATTATCACCATGTGATGTACACAGAGGGTCAAAGTTAATCATGAAGGCAAAGCCATGAGGTGCCCCACAGGGAAAGGGAGACTCAGGGGGGATAAGAAGGGAGTGGAACCAGGGTTCAGCCCAGAACGTTTGCACTCAGAGCCTTGTTGACTTGTCTTTCTTTGGTCCCCTGTCCATCAGGATTCGGGTATGACTCTGCACTCCTCGCAAGTGAACTGTTGCAATCTTCTGGAATGTTCTGCGATGGGATGCTGGGAGGCTGAGAGCCTAGGAGGACATTAAGAGGCAGTGTGACTTACCTGCTCAAATCAAACTAAAACCCATGTACATCTCCGGTGGTTCAGGGTCAGCTGACTCCAGATGTAAAATGAAGAACAAGAGTGAGCCCCTGGTGACACAACACTGGCACTGTCCTGTGGGAGGTGAGCATTAGCAGAAGTGACAGAGACCATCGTAAGTCACTCCTGAGATGAGTATGTGTGGAGACAGTTGTGGAGAAAGGTCAGGATATCACGAAAGCGGATGACAGGAGACCTAACAGGTCCCCTACCACGGGAGTCCATCACATGTACAGTGTGTGAGAGGCATATGGCATATGGACCAGAATCTGAACCACACACAGTGGTGATAAATCATAGAACAAGAAAGTGCTCTCGGGAATTAAAACTATGACCCTAGAAATGGATAATTTAGTCCATAAAGTGGATGACTACAGTTGTACTTCCCCAAAGTGGTACCGTCAGGAGGTGAGGCAAGCAGGAGAGAAGACCTGTTTGGTTCCTAAAATTTGTTTCCATAAATGTCAAGACTATTTCTCAGAGGTGACAGGGAAAACACTTATGTTGAAATTCCTCCCCAAGTTCTTAATTAGAGTGGATTACAAGAGACCCACATGAAGACACATCATGATGAAATGTCAGGAAGAGGGGGGAGGAGCAGACACCTTGAAAACTCCAAGACGCAACAACACAGGCCTGGAGGCTGGAAGACATGACACATGGTCCCCAAATTGAGGACAACGGTGTCCAGCACAGTTTCCGTCCTGTCACCGCGTGAATCAGGGTGAGAGCAGCCTAAAGGCTCGTCAGAGGTTTACAGTGTCGGTGTCTACTTACCACACTCCCATCCACAGGTTACCACGAGGCAAAGGGGAAAATGATGGAGAAAACCACAGAGGGGAGCACGTGGGATCCAGGCAACAGGGAGCCAGAAGGAGAGAGGCAGAGGGCACCTGGGATGAGCTGAAGGGGGTCCAGGTCTCGTCCCTGCCCCAGGTGTACAGGCATACTGTCCACATGGGCCAGGCATCTGCACAGACACGAGGGTGGTGGAATCACGGATGGGTTCGATGCATTCATGAAGATTTACCCTGGGGGAGCTTGGGAAGCAGAAGAGAACAACAGAAACTAAGCAAACGGAGGAAGAGATATGTATTTACTAAGGAAAATAATAAGTTAAATTAAGAAAGGCAAAGTAATCACAGTCTACTAAATACTAGGTTGTGACCAGCATTTCATGGTCATAAAAATGCAAACAGTGCACTCTGAGATAATCAAAGTCATAAAATAATTTGGGGCAGTTGGGAGAGTGTGAAAGAAGATCCAGTTCAGTAAAGAGGATGCATAAACCTGAAAACCAGAGAATGAGTGACGGAAGCAGGTTATTTAGATGCATAGAAGTAATAATAAGAGGAATCAGCTAAAAGAACTAGTGCAGGGGATGTTTGAGATTCAGAAAAGGGGGATGGAAGACTGGGGACATCTGACTTGATATCAATACTGCAGAAGTATTTGAGTTTTAAAAACTCTGCCTCCATCCATTTGCTAAAGATAACATGGCGAGTGAGAAATGGAGTCAGGGATGTTCTGCACGGAGGCCACAGAGATGGGGTAGGAGTTGGCGGAGTTATGGGAACAGGTGTTGGATTTCGATGGGAGGATTTGTTGTGGTTTATTTAGTGTTATTTCACGTTGTTGCATGGGAGTCAGGACAGCATGTTTGTATGGGGACTGGCTGAGCGGGCAGAGAGGGGGAAATGGATGATGCAGGTGCCCAAATGGAGGGGCAGCCTGAGACAGGAGGGGCGCCTCCACCATGGCCGCTTAGAAGGTGAGGACACAGGTGCAGCTGTGGGGGAGGGGCAGGGAGGAGTGTGCACTTCTCACCTGAGTGCTTCTTTCTGAGTGAGAGACACAGGAGCTCATCACCTCAGAGGGGGGAGCTGGGAGGGGGTCCAGGAGACTGAGGCGGGGGGAGGAATTGAGAAGCTCTCTCAGGAGGGGGGACGGTGAGGTGACTGGGGAAATGGCATCTGGAGAGAGCAGGGCTGGGGCCCCTGAGCTCTGTGGTCATCGTCTTAGAGAGAGAGAGAGAGAGTTCCAGCAGTTGGAGCGCCTATAATAGACTAGGAGAAAATACAACAAAATAGCTCAGGTGTGAGAATAACCATCCTTTTTACTTTGTCATCATTTGCTTTTCTCATTTTATAACTTTTCTGCAGGGA